AAGGACCAGAAGACCTAGAGTGGAGGCCTTTGAGGTTTAGAAGAGCAAGCACCTGTGCTGAGCATTAGAATCGCCAGGCCGAACACCTGACCCATTAAACCAGGGTCTTGGGGCGGGGCCTGGAAACAGGTATTAAAGCTTGGCAGGTGCTCCAAATACACTGAATCCTCAAGCGGTCTCTGCTCCATGACTCCTGCACGCAGACTGCAGGGACAGTTTACCAAAAGTGACTTTGGGGAAAGCCCAGTGGCGGGAGAAGAGCCTGGCATATTCAACGCTCATTCACTTGGGCTCCACCCGACCCTGCTGAGAGACAAGCACTTTAGCTGGGAAGCTCAGGACAGTCTCTGGGTTGGTGAACCACCCAGGGAAGGCCCCCGGGACCCGTGGGAAGACTGCTGTGGTGGGTGAGGTCTCTGCGCACACTGGCCACGCAGCCGACACCACAGCTGCCCAGGTCAGGTCAACCTGCTCTCCACACTGACTGCATGGAGCTGATGCTGAGAGCTTCTGAAGTCCACCCAAAACTACCCGCTGCTCTCAAGTGCAAAGACCTGAGTTTGATCCCTGGTACCAAAAGAACCTACTTACTGTAAGTAAAATTTTCGAGCTTATGTAATACTATTAAGTAGAAGAGTTTCCCTTTTTTTTTTTTCTTTTCCTTTCCATTTTCTGAATGGCTTGTTTCACTTAATGTCCCTCAGGTTCAGCCATATTGTCAGAAATGGTGGGACTGCTTTTCCATAAGGTGGAGTAATATTCCCTTGTATGTGTGGGTGTATACCACATGATGTTCATTCATCTAGCACCTGGGTTAATTACCTTTTTTCGCTACTGTGAATACTGTTGTTGTGAAAGGTGTGCAAATATCTCCTAAGATCCCAATTTCAATGCCTTTGGACACATACCCAGAGTGGGGTTTGCTGGATCATATCGCAAGTCCACTTTCAGTGTTTTGAGGGATTTCAGTATTTCGCAGTGGCTGCGCCATTTTAATCTCCACAGATGGTGTTCCACGGGTTGCAATTTCTCCACATCCTCACCAGTGCTTATCTTGTTTATTTTTAATAATACCTGTCCTCACTAGTTGTGAGGTGACTTCTCACTATAGTTTTGATTTTCATTTTCCCGGCAATGATGTTGCACGTCTTCTCCTATACAGTGCACCCCCTCAAGTTACAACCGGCCTGACGTACAAACAATTTGGGTTAATTAGGTTAATGGAAGATTCACCTGCCTCTTATCTATAGTGTGTACCCAGGTAAACATCCAGATCTCAGCTGTATTGACTTAGATACAACCAGCCCTCCAGAGCCAATCAAGTTTGTAAGTCAAGGGTCCACAATACATTTGTTGTTTTGCTACTGAGCTGTAGGCATTCGTTATGTATTGTGGAAATCAATCCACTACCAGGTTAAGTGGCTTGCAAATATTTCCTACCATTCTGTAGGTTGCCTTTTCATCTTGTTGATTGGTTGTGGGAGTGATTTCTTGACTATGACAACAAAAGCACAGGCAAAAAGTGAAAACATACAATGTTAAGAAGCTTTTCTTCTAGGAAGTTTATAGTTTTGGGTCTTACTGTTGAATGAATTCTTTAATCCATTCAGAGTTGGTTTGAGTGTATGGGAGGGTCCAATTTATTTTCTTGCTCTCTTCTTGGATATGCAGGTTTTGGTGAAGAGATATTTTTCCTCTTTGTATATTCTTGGTACCCTTGAGTGTAGATCGTGAGTTTATTTCTGGAGTGGAGAACTATTTCTATGAAAATAAACTTTCCCACTTAACTGTTAGCTGAATATAGTTTATATAGGAAACCGAAGTTAAATGCTAAATTATTTTCCTTTAGATACCAGTTTTCAGAACAACGAGTTGGTTACTAGCATCCTTCAGATGTATGGATGTGTGTAATTATTTCTGAATGTCATTCACTCTTGCGTTTTACTGTATTTGACTTTTCCTGATATTTGAGTTATTAATGCTTTAGTTGTTCCTCTCTGGCCTCTGGGGCCCTCTGTGACCTGGCTTCTGTGGTCTGTGAAAGCCTTGATTTATCTCAAGTTGTTCTAGTTCACCTTCATCCTGCCCTGTTCCTAGCCTAGAACCAGCAATTTGTTCAAGGACCCCTGGTTTCTTTTGGTAGAAAATGGCTCACATTGGGTCCCATGGTGCTCACTGCTACTGAGTTGTCCTTATTTCTGGCCTTTCGTTTCTACGCTAATGTCTGTGTACCCCCTCGTCAAAGGATAGGATTTTTACTTAGCCTCTGTAATTTTATATTTACCCATGATTTACACTGAAAATCATAGTTCTTAATGGCATTATCATGATTACTCCATATGCTTTGTCTGAAACTATTATACCTATTTTAAAACAATCAGCTGACTCATTACTAACAAAATAATCAGTATTTTTTGGTAGTTCTTTTGTTATATTTACTATTAGGGGCATGCATTACAATTCCCTGAAATAATTCCTCTCTGTATATGATTAAGGTACAATTTGATAAAAGTTAGATTCGTTTCATTTTGCCCTTTGAATCCTTAGTTACTGCATTTTCCATCTAAATTTAACGTTGTAATTATGTAAAATACTTTCTTCCAAAGTCAAGTGTACAAGGTCCAAGTTTTAGAGAAGCCTAATTTCTATCCCACTCTGTCTGCCTCCCCGCCATATATAACTGCTATCATTTGAACGTTCACGCCTCTTCCTGGAGTTTGTACCCTCAAAGTGATGGTGTTGGGAGGTGGGCTCTTTGGGAGGCTGTTAGGCCGTAGGACTGGAGCCCTCACAAATGGGATTTGTGCCTTTGTAATGAGAGACCTGACAGAGCCCTCACAGCTTCCAGCATGTGAGGACCCTGTACCAAACCAGGAAACGTGCCTGGGTGACAATGAGTTGGCAGATGCACATTTAACACCCAGCCTCTGGAACTATGAGAAATGAACTGCTGTTGTTTATAAGCCAATGTGTGGTATTTTGTTCTATCAGTAGTGGGTATGTCTGCAGCTATTTCCCTTGATGGCTTATATTTTAAAATTATTAAAACAATTTTAATAAGCATGTGTGTATATCTGAATAGCTTTAAGTGAAAGGTAGCAAAACTACACTTCTTACCGCTTCACACAGTATTCTGGAGAAAACTCCTATATTGTGTGTGTAGATGCCCCTCACGTACCTGTGCAGCTGCGCAGAACTCAGTCTTATTACAGCACAGATGAGTCCAGAAGTCCTTACTACAGACCCTTCAGATGTTCCCAACATTTTATTCTTACCATCAGAGTTACAAGGAAAAGCTCTGTGCATGCATCTTATGTTTATGCAGTAGTTTCTGTAAGTGAGACTGGGGGGGCACAGGTAAGTGTGGACGCTGTGAACTGTCTACAATCATAGGTGCAGGACAGATCAGCTGGACAAGCCTCCTTATGGGCACATGTTTTGAGCCAACTTTACTGGAGATGAGTGGCTGGCTAGAGAGACCACGTTCTTACTCTTTACTTGAGTGAATACAAGAGTCCGGCAAGCTTTGTGGCCTAGTCCTTGGGCCCAGGCTGCACTTTTTTGGCTTTGCCTGCGCCTTGTAACGTCTTGTCCTGGGATTCTACTGGAGTGAAACTTTCACATGAAGTGTTCATTAAAGAATAGGTTCCTAGATGTTCATGAGTGTCTTTATAGCAGGCTTTGGTCCACAACTTGCTTTCCCAGTTAATACTCCAGGACAGTGAGGTGAGGGAGGGAACACTGAGTCCTGTTCACTTCTAGGAGCTGGTGTCCCACCGACTGGAATGACCAAATTATCCTGCTCTGATGACATTTGCTGGCCCTGAATTCAACTGTGGCCCCTGGACTGTTTCAATTATGGAAGGAATACACTGTTTTTCACTTTGACCCCCTTTTTCTTAACATCTGGGAACACAAGAGTCCTAGCCTTGCAGGTTTTCTTTAGTTACAGTGAGGCTATTCCAGTGTGGGGAGATGAAACGGCACCATGACCTCTAGTTTCTGTTACTCCTGTAAGGACACAACATATCACACAGGTAAACTCTACTTAATTCACTCCACTTTATTCTGGATGTGTATTACAGTTAACACAACTCACATACATAGCAGTAGACATTGAAAACTAAGGCCATTCTGTGAGTTATTTTTAAAACTTGGTATTCTCCACATAATTATTTTTTTTGCTGTTTTTGGTACCGGGGATCGAACTCAGGACCTTGTGCTTGCGGGGCAGGCAGCGGCACCACTGAGCTAAATCCCCAGCCCCACAATGATCTTTTAAAAAGCAGATTACCAAACCAAGATTCTCTTCTGAAATAAAAATTTAAAATAGGTCCAAGAGAATTTTAGGGCCATATTAATCTGAAGCTCATCGTGTGACATAACCATCTTTGTCTTCTACAGCATAGATAATTCCAAGGAGCCACTAGCTCAGCAGTGGGCTGTTAGCTCCAAGTTACCAGCCACAGTGACAGTGTTCAGAGACCGCTGTTCTCCTGGCGAGGAGCAGAGAGACCTGACCTAAGATACGCACTGCAAAATTCTTGGAACAAGAAAAAGAAAGGGACCCATAACTAAGGCACTGAAAGCACATTATTTATATAAAGAAATGTAAACAATTTAACACCAGCAGGCTCCCTTCGCTAGTCTTTACTGTGAGAGGACACAGGGGCATTGCCTTAGGGTCAGTGCTTGAAGTCAGGTGAAATGGGAATGCCTCCCTGTCTGCAGCATTCAGTCCTGTCTGCCCATGAACGATTCCTCTGATATCGGACGAGATCGGGCATGTCCAGGGTGCTATGGCCCTACACCTGTCATTCTCCACATGGTGCTAAAGAAGTAATTTCAAAGCAACTCAAGTGGAAGCTGTTATTGTCCTATAATCTGCATTTCGAGAGCACAATAAGGAAGAATTTTATTGGGAGCCTTAAATGATTAGGCTCTTCCAAACAGTCTTCTACCTTGTTCTTTGAATTTTAGAAGTCCTTTGGCCTGTTTCATTAGAGAAGTTGGGGGTAAGAACTGTCACCTCAGCAGCAATCCTCTTTCTTTGCAGGTTCAGATTTTAAATGTAATGGTTCATGTTATGAGTAAACCACATTTGCTATACTTAAAACTTTTCAGGGTGGGGAAATTTGGTGAGTGGACAGATAGCACTGTGAACATGTTGCCTTCAAAGTACCGTAAGTGCAGTAAGTAGAAAGGGTGTGTCTGCCCAGGGTGCTAGGGGACAGTGGCAGGGCGATTCCTAAGAGCCCTCACAACAACCAAAGTAACCTAATTGATATTTAACATTTCAGTATCAATTTTAAATATTCTAAGCTCCAAATCATTAACTCTATTTCTTTAAATAAAAAAGTGGGCTTTCATGCAGCTATATTTATGTGCACATGAATACAAATGTAATTTTTAATAAGGCTTATTGCAAAAAAAAAAGGGACTTATTTCTAATTCCTAAAGCAAGTACAATGTCTACAATCCCAGTTTCAGTGCTTTATAATTATGAATTTTGGGTAGGTAAAATAAAATATGTAGTTTATCTTAAATATGTTTGTTGCTATTAAGAGGAAAAAAAAAGGCTTTCCCATGGAAAGGTATCAGAGTGAGAGGCCACTCAACCGAATGAAAGTTAAATGATTGGAGAACTGGGTGAGTGTGTAGGAAAGGCAGGGCTCTGTTACATACACGTGTGTGTAGAAAGCACTTTCTCTTTTGTCTGGGAAAAATGCAATCCTGGTTGTACAACTATTTCCGTATTTAAAAATAACTCAAGGAAGTCTTCGAGAAACTTAAACGAGAAGCCTCTTTCAGTAAGGGAAGGGGAAAAGTCTTTTTTGTTTTTTTGTTTTGTTTTTAAAGAATACCTTTAAAAACGATGAAAGTTAAACAGCTGGGCTGGGAGCAGAAGTGCATAATAAGTAATAAGTAAGCTCCTAACACAATGGAAAACTGGCTTAGAAGCAGCACTAAATGTGGGTTGATGCACTTCAGGAGAGGCACTAGTTAATACTCTTCTAATAAAAATGACGTGTCAACAGTTTCTGTCCCAGTGAGTGCTTTCTCAAACTGCTAAGCAAGCTCCCCACATGTTTACCTTTCCTGGCAATGCATGATTTAAGTGTTAGTTAACAGTCACTGTCGAGCATTAAAGAGAAGGTTTTCGTGCCCAAAGAGTACATAAGGCATGAGTAAAGCTAACACACTTGCTAACAGCTAAGGGCTTTTAACTGTCTTATATTTTTAGCAGCTCTGACCAATATCCCTACTATATGACCAAGGGAAAATAAAACAAAAACGAAGAGGGGGCACACGGCTCCAATGGAGTGGAAATAATGACAACATGCTTCTGTGCCCCAGAAGGGGACTGGTGCTGTGGATTTGCTGAATTTTCCAGTGACTGCAAATGACAGAAATATTTAGGCAGAGTTCGTCAAAAGTGGGTTTAAATATTACTCTTGAGAGGAAGCCTAGGGGTGGAGGCAGTGCTTCTGTTAGCACTGGAAATAATTCCTTTTGTGTTATTTTGGTTTTAAGAGTAAGATTTATCCAGGCTACAAGGGCTGAATACTTTAGGATACACCATTACTGCTGGATCCCCATGCATATGTGGAAAATACAACCTTCCTTTTTCGGTATGTTTTAAAGAAATATTTTACAAGATAGTATGCATCTACAATAACAGAATGTTCCTTTATGTGTGCCTTTAAAAACGTATGTGACTACGTGTATACCACTTTTAAGAGAGAAAAGTGCCACTTGCCAGGGAGTCGTAAGGACTCTAGCACTGAGCACGCAAGACTGAGTGTAAATCAAGAACTTCAACTCAATTCCTATCTTTTAAAATTCAAATGAAGGTTTCATAGTGGAGAGCCTGTGGTTGCTCCCTGAGATGTGTGCAGGTGTGATTTCCAGAGAGGAAAGGGCGCAGGTGGCCTTCTGACAGCTCAGCATGAGGGGCTGGGACAGGTGAGTTAGGGACCTGCCTTAGGGAAGGGTGGGATGGGCTTGGGGGTGTAGAAAGGGTGTGGACAGTGCTCGCTGAGGAAGCGTGCTTGCCCGCAGGGTGAGCAGGGTGGTCACGTGCCAGTGCTCAGGAGTCAGGAAAGAGGATCGGGCCTCTGGGAAAAACTTGTGTGTACCTTGTGTGTTAACAGCCCGATGACTGTTTGATAACGCTTGGGCCCCAATTATCTCACAGCGATTGATCCCTGCTATGTATGCGGCATTGAAGTTACATTCAGAGGTTTAAATCGTAGCAATATTTTTTCCCACAAAATTAAGTGCAAAATATCTTTAACAAATAATGACATTAAGAAATATGTGACAGTCATGCAAAAGTGCATCTTGGTTTACAAAGACTTAGAACATTTCCAAAATATCCCCTAAGTTTTACATTGTGAATCTCGCCATCTTACTCATTTCTCTTTGAATTTAACTGTGGCTGCTTGTGTAAAAAACGGTAGCATGCAAGTTCAATGATTTCCAGTCCACCAAATATCCTCTCTTGTAGCACGAAGATGACAATGGTGATGATAAAGTACCAACGAACAAGGCTATACAGATATATGAGCAGGCACATCGCAGGGCTGAACAGGGTCCAGTACAGGATTGACAGCAGTTTGACCACAAGGACCCTGAGCTCAGACTTGCAAGGAGGGATTACACTCTGTCCAGTGAAACAGAAGTTCTTCTCCCCTTGGTAGAAGGAGCGCAGCCTCTCTTCCTTCTCCTCCCACCGCTTGTGGCACCAGAGTTGCAGGTCCTCCTTGGACACGGGAAGGGTGTCTATGGGGTAGCGGTGGACGTGGAAGTGGATTTCCTTGGGGAAGTTTCCGTGGAGGAGGTGCTTCTCGGTCTGAGGAATGTTGTGAGGATACGCCACGGTGATGTCGTGCACGGCATCGAGGTTCCTACCTAGGTTTTGAAAAGAGAAAAATATCTTTGGGCTGGCAGTAATCAATGGGGGTGCTTTTGCTGATTCACACTGCAGGCAATATCTGAAAAATCGGGTTAGAGTGAACCATGATGAACAAACAGAGCTACAGGTATAGTACTATGTTCTTGGGTCAGTATTTACCTATCATCCCCCCAACCCCACCACTTGCTAATTACTACAAAGCTTTAAAAAGAAATAATTTCCATTCCCAGAAATAGTAATCTGCCATTCTTGAGCTGAATGATCAGTACATTAGGTCCAATTTAAGATGGGAATTAAAGGGTACGGCACCAGTCCTTTACCCACAGGTTTCCCTGTTTGACACTTCTTCTTGATAGACTTATCTCTCCAAATACAAACTTCCTCACCTTGCACTGATATCACCATGTCATCTACTGGACAGAAACTTTCAGAATCACACATGGGTAACTGGCAACTGGAGGCAAGGGGCTGGCTCGGCAGGTGAAGCAGGAGCAGAGAGCTCAGCAAGGACAGGGCAATAAAAGTGCATCACAGACGCGTGGTGCAGGCTCTCATGTTTTCATGGTTCCGAATTAAACAATGTGACAAAAGTGTCTTGACTGGTGGAGCCTAGAGAAGCAAAGATTGCCCAGAGGGCAGTGCCAGCAGTGGTGTGACATCCAACAAGGTTCCAAAGAACTAATGTGGACAGTGGACAATGGGGGCGGGGGGTGTCACAGAGGTGCCTTTCAGGTAGGATAAAACATGGTGACTTTCTGAATTAAAAATGTATCACAACCAAGACCTGGCATGTAAAGGTACAAGATTCCAGTAATGAATGTAACTGTACTGTCTACCTAGAATGTACCAATAAATTCAATTAAAAAAAAAAGTATCACAGGAGAAGACGCACGGCCGTGAGTTCCCTTCAGAATACTTCTGCCACTTAAGTCACTAGTTGACTTTCTGAAGCAGTTCTGGAAGTCCTCTTTCCTGAGTGTCTCTACTTGGGCATTGTTTGTGGTTTCCTTGATGTCCTGAACTGATTAAAAATGTTTGCCTTTCATGGCATTTTGACGTTGGGGAAGAGCCAAGTCACATAGTGCCAGATGCAAAGGGGGCTGAGGACAAACAGCAATGCTTTTATCTGACAGAAACTGCCATAAACATTAGAATTGATTCAGGATATCGACACAGCCCACAAAAAGCCATGAAAGGGGACCTTCACCAGAGCTGTCTGAGAAGATGGCAAGAAGGATGGGATAAAGTGAGGGGCGAATGCTAAGGGGGACCCATGACCACGTGGTCCTCTACAGTCATACATTTTAAATATCCGTACTGAAGCATTCACTGAAGTTTGGTGTCTCGCGAACACGCGTTCGCCCTGTGCTTGGCTTCACTGCTGCACAGTTCGCACTTCTGCTCCACAGTGCACATCCACCGTGTGAAGATCCTACCTTGCAGCCAAAGTGACCGTGGACTGAAAAACTTCTCTAAGTGCGAGCCAAATAAACCACTTCTCCACTCAGTTATGTATGTCAGGTACTTTGTTCCAGCCATGGAAAAGTGACATGCGGGAAAGAATGAAAGAACTTATTTTTGGCTCAAGGTGTGAGCAGGTAGTGGGGCCCTTGAGATCAGAAGTGTGGTTGCGGTGTTAGATCTGGAAGAGGGTTGGGAGCCCTTTAATGGAAGCTGTATGCAAGGATCAGGGAAGTTAAGTGTTTTGTCCAAGGGCACAGAATTTGGTGCAAAGCCTCTGAATGTTGCTATCTTCTGTACTCTTTATCTTCAGAGAGAGAGAGACTCTTTTGATGAAGACTTCAGTATCTTACAGAACTTACTGGTACAGAAAACATTAACTTGTGATGACAGAAATAAGAACAGCGGTTGCCTGAGGAGGTGGGAAGTGCCTGAGAGGTAGTTGGAGGACGTTTTCTGGAGTGATGAGCAATCTAGATTTAAAGGTGTTGTGCTCGCTTCGGCAGCACATACAGATGAAAGGTGTGGATTACATAATGCTACGTTTGTTAGAATGCTCCAGGGACTACACAGGAACACGACACATCCCTGGAATAGTTAATTGTTAACTCACCTGCTTTAAAAATCAAGTCTTTTAGCGTGAATCAATACTACCCTGTCTCATAACAGGTCAAACCCTCCCTGACTATATAAAGTGAGTCACGTACCAGTCGAGGGGACCTGCCACCTGCAGACCCCTTGTGCCTGACATCCACAGCCAGACCTCCACACTAGCTGCCTCACCTTGCCTTCATCCGTTTCTTCCCACTTTCTCTCATAATGGAGAAAATAAGATCTGTCATTTTTTCATGCCAATTCGGAGTTATACTCACAGGGCATTTACTTTCAAGACTGCTCTACAACCAGTTTCCACTTGTTTTCTGGCCCAATCCTTCCTGCAGCTGAGTTACTGGCTGTCACCACAGCCCTGCTCACAGCCTTGACCCATCCACTGTACTCATGCAGCTCCTCTCGCTCTGTACCACTCTCACGTCCAACCCTAGAATCCTGGGACTTGGTCTTAATCTAATCTTAATATAGTCGTGAGTTCCAGCCTTTCGGCTACATGGGGTTCACAATGCTTAGCAGTCAAATATTTACTTGTGCATTATTAGAAACTGGCATTGAAATAGTAAGAAACGTTACTTACTAGTTTTACTCAGAACTGGGACTGCTCCTTGCTTGTTCCTCGCTCTTGGCGACCTACAGGTTAAGGGTGTGTATGCACCACGTCTGTCTGTGGGTTATGATGTTCAGTATTTAAGACAACGATGGCACCACTGGCGGGGACTGTCCTTTGAGAAGAATTCTAGCGACCAAATCCCAGCCCAGCCTCTTGACTGTAGTACCTAATCTCTCTGTGGCTTACTTGCTTCTTGTATCTGTAAGGTACCTCCCTGCATGGTGGCAAGAGTTACAGGAAAATAATATGCATCGACCCACACATAGCAGAACCTAGCGCACTGGAAAGGCTCAGTGAACCCCAGCAGCTGCATCACGGCTCATCTGACCACCCGGACGCCGCCAGCCTTCACTTCAGCAGTAGTTCCCACAGCCCCTACTGCCTCTGAAGCCCCTTCTATGCTGCTGTCCAAGCATCACTTGCCTAGGCCTCGCAGATGCACATAGATACCTACCGATTGAACCTTCCCACTCACTCAAGGGTTCAAACTACTGTTCTTTCTGCCTATAAGGAGCTTAGGAAATGGTTTTATTTTCAGATACCATAGCTATTGGACAGTTATACAGTACTTTGTTTTGTTTTTTGTGGTACCCAGGATTGAACTCAGGACCTTGTGCCTGCAAGGCAGGTGGCAATGCCACTGAGCTAAATCCCTGGGCCCTGGTACTTTATTATTTTATAAAACTAGCACTGTGTTAGAAGAGCCACACTCCCTAGGGCCCAAGTTATGCCTTGCCACACCTGCAACAAAGCATTTGCTTTAACATTTCAATTCCTAATTTTTAGTCTCCAAGACTGAGGGAATTTTGAATACAGTATTTTACTTGTGTTTAAGTAGCCAGTAGGAGTTTAAAAGCTATGACTGAGTTTTGCAAAAGTAATATCCAGAAAAGAATGTTTCTAAGAATATCAAGTTTGGCCCATGATGATTAGAAGAATCCTACATAATATAAAAAACTCCGTGGGAATGTGAGATGGCTATATCCTTATATGTTGTACATTTACACCAAAAGAAATGAAAGAGTGCAAATTAAAGTGAAGACATCCTGGTTTGCCCATACCTACTAAAGCATCAGATTCAACTGTGTACTTCAATGACAGAATAATAGAAATGTATTTTTTAACCTAGTGATTTTTAATAGAACTGATAACAACTGAAACCTTTATTTCTCCACTCTGCAATCAAATATATGTAGACTATACAAAAATATAATTTATTTTACATTTTAATACCTGCTTCAATTCAAATACAAGTCTAGTTTTCTATTAGCCAGATCTAAAGACATACATTTAACCATGTATACTGGAAAACTTTAGATAAAGTAGCTTGTCACTCAAGAGAAATTTGTTAAAATGCTGAGGGAGGGCCCGGGATATAGCCCAGTGGCACTGCCGCCTGCCTTGCAAGCGCAAGGTCCCGAGTTCAATCCCCATTACCCTCCCCGCCAAAAAAAGCTGAGGGATGTTGATTTTGTACATTGTTTTCCAGATTTTTTTTTTAAATCACCCAAAGAAGATAGAAGTTGGCTTTAGTAACTAAGCATTCACTCACCAGCCCTGACTTGTAATCATACAAGGCCAGTAATGCAGCATGACAAGCTGGCATTAGAACAGTCCTGAATGGAACAATTCGGACATGCTTAGACTAAAAGTACCAATAAATAAGATACCTTTCAGCTTTGAAATAAAAACAGTATGCATGAATCACTTGAAAACCAACTGGCAATAAGGCTCAAAATACTGTGCCATTTTCTTTGTTAGAGAAAATACTAGTTGCCTACTTGGAACGTTATGCATTTTTCCTTCAGTGTAAACTGAGCACTCATGGAACAAAAAGTGGAGTCTGATGGCTCCTTACTTTACCTTTACCAGTTCCGTGACCTTGGCACGTTCACTGTGAGCTGTCCATACGCGTCTCTCAGTACCTGCCCCATGTTGTGGGTTTTGTGAAGACCAACTAGGATAAATGCTTTATGAGCTTGGAGCAGAGCCTGGCACATAGTAGAGCAACAGAAGATGCCGGGCATGTGTGTACTGACATTATTCCTTGTTATGGCTCGTGTTTAGGTGTCCCCTCAAAGCCTTGGCTTTTTCCAGAGGTGGATGAATCTAGAGTGTGTGATTGATTCATAGCGGGGCAAGGCCCAAAGGTGCTTGACTAAGGGCAGGGTGCCACCCACCGTATGTAGTCTGAATAAGATACAAGGGGTGAGAAGACCCTGTTAACTCTTGTTGATTTCTTCTGCAGCCATGAAGTGTCCCTTGTTGCCTTTGCTACCCTGTGCCACCATGTTATTCCTCCTCTGCGATGCC